TTCGATGCTTGGTTCTAGTTGAGGATGCGTGCCGACAAAACACATCTCACCAGCGACGCACGTGTGTGCCGACGTGCAGAGAGAGGCAATGGGGCTTGATTGCAATGTGACAACAATTTAGTCTGAAAACCGTGCATCTGTTTGTCACTCTTTTATCGGTGTGCTTTTATTTTCGGGAGACCAATTGTACATTGCCAAGACTCCCTCGAGATCTTGACACGGTATGACAGAGAGACGTGCATTCAGTGGAGGCACTGCATGCTTCTGTATCTTTAGCACACAAAAAAAGCAGCGAAACATATGCCACTACTGAAATGTATCGCAGCATTTTATCAGTTTCGCACACCCAATGTAGACAAAATACGTTTCCACCGGACGCCAAATTATTTCCGCGGATCGCTATTGCTCGTCAACGGCTACGTACAAAAGCCGGTCGGTCTATTCGCGTATAACCTGGCCGTCCGTGCGCCCACGCGCACGTTTATTCTCCTATGCAAAGGCAATGGCCGGGAAGGGCAAGAGAGCTTGGGGATCGGGTCGTTCTGCGCCCCGATGTCTCTGCCAGTGACGTCACGCGCATGGTGCCACCGCCTGTGACCCGGGGGCAACCTTTCTGGGGCGAGCGTGACCCTTACTTAAAATGACTCGGCGGGGGACGCAGATGGGAACGGCGCGATTCAATAGCAGTCTTTGCTCCAATCTGTAAGTGATGAGAATACCCCCTCCCCCTCCATCATAACAAAGAATATTTTGCAGTCTCGCTCTCTGGCTGTTTTTTTTTTCTTGTTTTGGGGGGGTAGAGGGGGCCGGTCTGCAGACATTACCATTGCATAGGACAGGGGTGGGGAACGTCCGGCCCGCGGGCCATATGAGGCCCGCAAATTAATTTGGTGTGGCCCTGCCAAGGCAACCACAGGCGGGACTCGAAATTCAATAAATCTTGGAGCAAACCTGGAAAAGCAGTTGCGAGTAGCAACATCATCAATAGCAGCTAACATCACCCCACGCCTCGCCAAAGAGAAGCAGTTCCAGCCATCGCATTAGGGGTGAGTTAATTAAAATGTTTGACCAAATATAACAGGCTAATTTTGAAGTTGATAATTTTGTATGGCCCGCGAATGATGTTATAAATATCCAAATGGCCCTTGGCAGAAAAAAGGTTCCCCGTGTCCATTTGTGGGTATGATGGATGCAAATACGCGTGCAAATACGCGTACAAGGCAACAGGTAAAGCGCCATTGGGCACTTGATGTTGTAAGAATTGTCGAGAGTGTAATCGCGTTTTCCCGATTAGCGTACCATTTACAAGAGGGAATGGGGCAGAGAAGAGGAAGCAAATGAGAAGAAAACGATCAGTAAACGACACTGCAAATGAGAGATTAAATGAGAGGCGCGCAGCAATGCCTAACCCAGCCGTGCGTCCGACTGTTACGTGTTTGTGCACACCGAGGTCAAAGTGATGGGAAAACAAACTTACTAATCAAGGAGACTGCATGGCATGTGGCATTGCTTATAGATGCTCCGCGTGTTTTCAAGGTAATCATTTGCTCTCTGTAGAAAGAAAAAGCTCCCTATGCCTCAACCGTGCTTGTTGATTGGTAGCTCTCTTTAACTGGGCTGTGTCTGGACATCTGTGAAACTGTTGGAAATCTATGAAGAGCTTTAAAAGCTCATCGCTTTCCTCCAGTACGAATAGATATTCCGATTCTGGTGTCTGCCAAATAAGAATTGCACGAACTTGAGTGATGGGTGTAAACATCTGAATCTAGGTAAAGTATGACGTTTAAAGACAGATTCGAATGGGCCACATTAATGGTGGGTAAAAAGTAATGAGAGTTCAAATCTCAACAACTCTCTGTAGACGATGGGTGGAAGCCATCGCAATAGGAGAATGCGTGCCGGCTGAAAGCTAAGACATTTAACAACACGCTGAGGTGTGCTGCTTACACGTCAGGAAGGTACGACTCCCAGCATGCCTTGCAGGCGTGTCACGTGATTACATTTCATTACCATGTTTCCCTCGCTTTCACGCGGTGGTAGTAGTGGATGCGTTCCAAAACAAGGGAGCCCAAAGCGAAACCGCGCGGGGAAGGCAGCTGCTTGTTGAGAAGCCCCGCAGTGCACAATGTTGTCCCACGTCCCAGTGACGGACTGGCACAAAAAGATCGGCCCGGGCATTTGTACACACACCAATCCAAATTTAGACTATTTCCAAAAAAATTAATTTTGTTTACTCTGACCACATTTGCAATTTCCCCAAACAGACCAGCCCACCGGCACTCGGATGGACTGGCCCACCAGGGCATTTGTTCTCTGGACTGCTGCTCTATAGCCAGTCCGGGCCTGCCACGTCCGACCGCATAGCAGCGTCTATGAGTGAATTCAAGCAGAATAGTAGAGCGAATTTTGTGTAGGAATCGGTTAGCCGCATACATAGCGCGAAATCGCACACACCGCACCCGTCCAAAGTGAGGGAAAACCATTACAATTTTCTCAACCATGTCCAGACCACCAGCTCAAAAAAGCCCAATGTGTTATTTAGACCACCAACTCGTAGTTCTAAAAAATGCGTGGTTGTTTTAACTGTATTGAGGACAAAAGACGGTCTACTTGGGTTTCTGTTTCACCGCTGCCTGAATCGGGAGAGGCCCCTTTTCAACCCGGTGTGTATGTGGCTAACTGACTATTCGAGGGCAATAAAAGTGATGGAGTCTTGTACATGCACTTGTCTGCAGTAACTGTTACAGATGTTAAATCTTTACAATACAGTCATGGTGAGTGCACCACACACTGATTCGAGAGAGAGAGAGATAGTTAAACTTGTTTTAAATGTTATATTGTACACTTTCGATAAGGGCCACAATCTTATACTGATGTCAAGATATACGATTTTCCAAAGACTAGTTATAGTTTATTTTTACATTTTCGTGATAAACAATCGGCCTAACAATCTCTCAAGTGATTTATATAACAATTGTCCAATAGATAACATTATGGCTGCTGTATATCACGTGAAAAAAATGAAAATAGTCACTTTCGCGAATACTTTGTTTTGTTTAGCCAACGCAGCATTTAAATGGGGGAAAAGGATAATTTTTACTCAGTTTTCTCCAGAGTTGGCAGCAAGTTTCCATGTACACAAGCAAAACGGAACACAAGCCACATTTATCTTGCGAGGCATGAGAGCACACTCATCTTCCAGTGTAAACAATACATCGGCCTGCGGTTTTGATTTGAAGCCATGAATCTTGCAAGGCAGGTTATCTCTGCGCCGTACTCGGCATAAAATGGCACAAAAGGGCTTTTGTGCAGCTGCGAAAGCCATAAACGTCAGCAAAACTTCCACAGTGATGGGCAACTACACAAGGCAATCCTAACACAAAACTAATAACGGTTAGTTTTTCGCTTTGAGTTGTCAAAAGGGAATTTTTAATTGGTTAAAACACCGAATAAGTTTATTGACTTGTTTGAGTTGCAAAATATTTAAGCAATCTTTTTAAATACTATAGCGTGTGACTTGTGATATTAAAATGTACAACGCAATCTCAAATTAACTGAAGTCTGAGGAAAAAATGTATGCCTGGATCTCTCGCAAATATCTTTTGATGTTACCACAACTGCGTTTGTTTGAAAACGCTGTTCACCTTGACTACAAAAGAGAACCTGAGGTTTCACGTAAAGTTTTCACGTAAAGTTTTCATGGCCACGTTACGGTGACAAAGGCACACTGATGCACAACATGAAACAAGTGCCTTACTAACAATGCATTGACGAGAGCCGTGGACATGTGATCTCTGTGTATTGTGGGAGATCTTAAATGGGGGGGCCAGACCAAAAAGGATATGAACCACTAAATATAGACACAACGTGCACGATATTAACTGAATTTTTTTCGAATTAAAGCTTTCGTGACTGCAGGGATTCATCTTCTTGGTTCTTTCGGTAAAGTCGCGTAGAAGAGAAATAATAAAATAATACAAAATAAAATATATATTTTATTATGTTTTATTTTTATTTGTGTTAAACATAATAAAATGAAATTATGATGTTTTATTTTTATTATTTTATTATTTCCCTTCTACGTGACTTTACCGAAAGAACCAAGAAGATTAACTGAATTGATATTCAACAGAAAACAAAATATCTCGCCTTGCGTGCTGTTTATTGTCAGTGTGGAAAAAAACGGTCTTATTCGTGGGTCTTTTACCCGTAAAAATGTATGTAATGCATATATGTATTTTTTTGTAATGTATATTATTTCCACAGCATTTGTTGCGAAGCAGAGTGTGTGAAGGGATGTCACGTCCTCCCTGCGTGCGTGTGCCCGGCTGTGCCAAGTCTTCGATTTGTGTTATTCTACATTGGGCCCTTTTCATTGATAAAATCCTTATTGGAAAATCCGCGTTAATTCACCATCCACATTGTCAAATCCAAGGAACCAAAAAGCGTCCATCTCATTGGCTTTTAGCAATGCCGAGAACAAGACTTGGAATAGGCGACAAAGGCCTTTGCCGTTGCAGCACTGCCAACTTTTTTTTTTCAACCTTGTTTCCTCACTTAACATCGTAAATGTTCCTTCAAAAAGTATCCTGAAGAAGGAGATTAGTGCTGGATACAGTCACATTTTGCAAGTGTTACTTGTAACGTTGATCCTTCCCCCTGTATCAATAGTTCAATGTTAATGTTCCATTTCATTGAGGGACTACAGTGTGGCATTATCTTGGTGTGATCTCTGCTGTTGTTGCTGTTGGCTTGCCCAATCTTGATGAATCGGAACTCTAACATTTATTGATTATTATTATTTTATATTTAGTGACTTGCTTACCGTTTTCTCTATGTTGCACCCCTGTCGTGTTTCTGCGTCGTTTGCCATTCTAACTCGCTGACCCCATGCCCCCCAGTTCTGCACGTGCGTCAAAAAGAGCTTCACAGCTCGTCGGATTCCTCCGTCCAGTCTAGAACAAGCATTCTGACGATTTCCTATTTTGTTCTCCACGCAGACGGCGATGTCTGGCGAAGTCCCACCACCGGGGCTCCCTACGCGTCCGTTCCCGAAGTGAATTCAGCGATGCGCTAAAGGGGGATCGGGGGGGACGAGCGACAGACAGTGACAGCGCAACCGCCCGTCCGACGACAACGACCACGACACCACGACACTCCGCCAGCGGGGCCCGATACAACAAGGCCCGAAAGAGTTTTTGACATCTGCGTCTATCGCTCAAGCTTGCCCTAGAGTAGGAGGAAAAGAGAAGGAACAAGATGAAAACAGTATATATTGTACAAATAAAAACAAAGTAATTTATTGGTACAACAGGATTGTTTCAGGGAAGTCAGTTTCGGAGCCGATGTACGGTTTGCACAGACGTATCAGAAGAATCGTGATTTGCCGGAAATTGACCCGATTACCGTTGTGTTCACTGGCAAAAGTGTACGAGGAACGAGGAGAATCCGTCGAGATACACAGTGGAGAGAGATTTACGTAGAGGGGTGAGCAAATATATTTTTTTTCTTTCCACTTTCCCTTGGGGCAAGATGGACCGGGGGGGGACAATGTACATCACCGTCAAAAAACCGAGGGACGAGGAGAAAAACAAACGACGCAAAGACTCCCGAACGAAGATGCTTCACGTCTTCGTTTTTAAGACGTGACTTTTTTTCAGTAGCCCGAGCTAATCTTTTACGTTCTTTTACCTTACCAGTGCCTGTGGCAGAGGGACAACACAACAACGAGAACTTGAATGAAACAAACTATAGAGGTCAACTCGCTATACTGTCAAGTAAACATTGCTGTTATATCTGGTTCGTCAGCTGGAATACATATCCCCGTCTTCAAGTGTGGCTATTGAACACCAGTAGCTGATAATTAAAAAAAAAACCTCTAATTTCCTTGATCTGATAGGGATTAAACATTGTTACAACTGTGTCTCCTTTTGAAGGCTACAGTTTCTCAAAAAGATCTGGTTTCTCACCTGACCTTCGGTATTTTCAAATGTAAACACGTGCGAGGTTGTGTTTCCAGCGCACCGTGGAGAATGAGTTTGCGTAGACGTGGAAATAAAGCATTAAAATGTATTAAAGTCGGTTAGGTCCATAATTGTGACCATATTTAGCATGTGGTACACATTACTGGGCAGGGCGGGGGGGGTAAAAGTTGTATATTTTTTAATCCTTTAACATCTCACTTTGAACATCGATGAGTACCACATCAGTGTTTTTTTTTTCGAGGAGGCATGGAAAAACTTGCTGCTGGATTAATATTCACATCTAATCTCTTCTGATAGTGTTGGACAATTTCACCTTTGGCGATGGGTCATTTGTCATAATGGTTAAGCCAGCGTTACTAAAAAAAACACATTAAATGTAAATAGCAAATGCCTTTCGTTTGGTACGTTTACCACAAGCGATGTGATCACATTCATTACCTACAGGATTATTTTTCATATTGTTTCTACGAGGAACAAATGATCCGATTGATGAAAATATTCGAAAGCGAGGTCATAATTTGTACACACTTCTTGAAGTCTGTTCATGTTCTGTTGATTTTTTTGCACCGAAAAGCCAGGGTTAAAACATGGGTTTTTTTGACACGTGACCGCAGTTACCAACACCTCATTATTGTTTGTGAGCTTGGTTAATTGCAATATGTCCGAGCGAGCTTGGCTATCGTCAAAAAAACTGTTTTGTCATACGTTGGATAACCCGTCCTATTTCATTTCACAGTGTGGGCTTTGCATTGTGGAGCTGCACATATTATCGTGCATTGTTTACCAATAGGCCAAGACCATTAACAAATCATTAGAATCACTGAAAAATCGTTTTGTTCACTCGTGTAGTCGTGGACGTAGCAGACACTTGACATTCTTAACCGGATTAAAATGTGCAAACAGTTATTTTGTGTAATAAAAATGTACAAACTTTTGTTTTAAGTTATAAAGTGGTTTTTCTTCACGAGTATATTATTGTCCCTGGTAATGTGATTGCCAAAATGTGAAATACAAACCCACTCCATGATCATCATCCATTGGCTGTGATTTGATCATAATTTAACATCAACAATCTAACATACATGTACTGTGCTTTCGGAGGGCAGCATACGCACATTAGGAAGACTCTCCGTTGTCAGAAACGAGAGGTGTTGCAGTATTGAGTAAAACTTTGCAAGCCCGTAATTATAATATATATTTGGGGACACATCCCCCCCCCCCCCATATTCAAATGTGCTCAAAATGTCCCCCCAATATAGTGCTATAAAATAGATTTATGTTTATATGATTGTGGTTATGGTTGTACTTTATTAATCCCTCATCTCTGCCATTACATGCAATGAAACAAGAAAAGGTAAAATAAAGAAAAAACAGCAATGTAATACAATACACGATTAGACATTTTTGTAAAAAATAAATAAAAAGTCCATCCTATGTGTTAGTGAATTTTTTTTATATTTTAGGCAGGAAATGGCAGGAAATTCGTTTTCAAATTTAGAAAAAAAATTCTGGGGGGGGGACCCCCAGCCCCCCTTGGAAGATTTGCCCCCCCCCCCCCAATGTTGACTCCATGGCTACGGCCTTGCAACATTGTGTCAAGCAGACAGCAAACACCGAAGCAATGTAGTCGACATCGCTGCAAGTGATAGCGCTTGCCTGCTGTACGTATGTTGGACTTATTTCGTACCAACCGCGCTAATCGGAGGGGCGGGGGGAAGGACAACAAACTAAACACAAAAAGCAGTCCTCAAGAAATGAGTTTTCAATTCAGAAAATTCTACTTATCCCTCTGCCATGCATGCCTTTCCAGCTTTCAGCACAGCACACGCCGGAATCATACGCATCTCGTCCCCCGGAATGGCTGAAGCTAAGTGAAATAGTCATTAAAGCGGCAGGCAAGAACAACCACGGCCCGCCGTTCGCAAAGTTCGTGGAGTTACCCATTCAGAAATTCGCAAACAACTTAGCGCAAACAAAAACAAAACTCGGCGCTCATTCACCGCTCCTTGCCCGCCGAAAAGTCTTGCAGATACGCGAAAAGGGGCCTTTGGGCGATTGGGAAAGGAACACGTTTTGCTGTCGCGTCATATTGGACGTCAACGATGGAATCGTGAAGACATTGCTGCTTGTGTGTCAAGACGTTTTTTTATTAAATCCTTTATATTAAGTTCGCTTGCTTGCTTGCGTGCTTGCTTGCTTACGACCGTGCAAATCTTTCGGTCGTTTTTAACCCACTTCCCGTGATCCAATCGAGCTGACATTTTGCACACAGACTCGTTGTGCGAGACAATTAATGTTCGTGAATTTTTTTTTTCAAAAATTTTACACTGTTTAGGGAAAACAAATTAAATATTTAATTACCAATTGCTTAATACTGGCAGACAATCATCTGATCCATAGGTGGCCGCCATCTCAAGCCAGAGGACGAGAGGACTCTAGCCGCCACGCATATAAAGGATTTATAATGAAAAACTTTGTTTTTACGGGTTATACTTGTTTTATTTTGGATCGTCCGATCAGTTTGTCGCAGTAACCATTCAGGCTCCAGTGATTCACATTGCAGTGTTGTATTTGTGGGGGGGCGGGGGGGGGGACGGTGTAACCTCAACGAGTAACTCGCGGAGCAATTTTGTATAACAGTGGATGTCAGAAACTAGAAACGTATCGGTGGTGAAAGTTGGTACCGGTGAATCACCTCGCAAACATGCAACGTTGGGCCAACCTTGCGTGTGGTTCAAGAAATATTGGACAAACGGCTAAAATGTTTCGCCTTTACCACACAGTAATTTTATGCAGTAGGAATTGCAGGGTGCCACAGTGGCGTGATGTTAACTAACTCGCCTGGTACACAGGAGGTCGTGGGTTCGATCCCGACCCTGACGCCTGCTGTATATTTGAAGTTTGCATGTTCTCACCTTGGTTGCGTGGATTTTTCTCCGAGTCCTCCGGTTTTTCCATCCACATTTAAAATCAACGAGCGTTTAGGGTATTTGGCTGCTATAAATTTCCACGTGACAAGCCACTTCGTTGAGCTATCATTTGTGGCCAGGTCGCTTTTGAAAAAAGAGCTATATAGCTAAGTAGGACTAACTTGGTAAGATAAAAAAATAATTAGTTTAGTTTTAGTTTAATTGGTAGCAGCTTACCATCATTGTTCGTGCTCACATCTTTATGAATACGGTGCCCTCGTGCAAGTGTGCTGAAAGTGTACTGCAGTACAGAACAATCACTGAACAAGCAAGCATGTCCCAAAGCACCAATGAGACACTTCATCTCCATTGTAGGCGCTCAGCCAACGGTTCAAATTCCACCTTCCTATTGTAGAAGCCAATCTTGTCATCGGACAACCAATGTTTACAACAAAGTGGTACCGATTTTACACACCCCATGAGTAATGATTTCTGCAAATTGAACTCAATAGTAAAAAGGGGGATATGTTTTTGCACATTTTGTAACCAAAATGAACAATATTACACAAAAATCTAAGTGAAAATTGTTACTAAAATTCCATATTTGTGTTTCAACAATGACTTTTTTTTTAATACGTTTACGCAACCTATCAACCACACGGCCTTCTGGGAGTGCGTCTTATGAACAGTTCTGTTCAACTTCTTGGTTCTTTCGGTAAAGTCACGTAGAAGGGAAATAGTAAAATAATAAAAATAAAACATAATCTTTTTATTTTCACGTACAAGGGAAATAATAAAAATAACACATTTTTATTTCCATTTTTATTATTTTATTATTTCCCTTCTCCGTGACTTTACCGAAAGAACCAAGAATATGAATCCCTGCAGTCACGAAAGCTTTAAATCGAAAGTTCGGTTCAACTCAAGAAAACCCCGGACCGATTGCAACATTCGGTGTGAGTCGGGAACCCAATTCTTACGAAAGACTCTTTCCCTATCGAGCATCGGGGCAGTTCAAACGAGCCATCATCACACGCAGAGAAACCCGATCACGCAATAATTGTCACAATTCAGGGTCATAGCTCGATTCAAGAATCGAATTGTAACTGGGTAGCGAATGGTAATGCCTCCATTGGCTGCAGGGGGGGCGGGGGGTAAACCATTATTGTTAACACAAACCGTACGAATCATTCAGACGCTGTCGCCTCGACAGACCTGGTTTCACCTGAGGACGGCTACTTGCGTTGTGGCCGAAACGTCGTGAGAATTATTTTATTATGTTTTATTTGTATTATTTTATTACTTCCCTTCTACGTGACTTTACCGAAAGAACCAAGAAGACGTACGAATCCAAACACATTGACTCTTACCTGCTCAAGTCGGTATTTTGTGAGCTAAGGATCAATAATCGATTAATCGATCCATCGTGCGCCTATAATGAAGAGCAGTTTGAAGATCACTTGCCGGCCTTGCATGTGATTATGAAATGTAAAATACGTATAATTTCACACGTATCATTCGAGATGGGAAGGAAGGATATTTAGCTTGATTCACATTTAGCAAACTGAATTTATACCTTCAAAGATAATGTTTTATTGGGGTGGTAATAATTTTGCAGTGGTTGCACATTTCTTTTGTTTGTTCGAGTAATATGATTCATTGTTGGACTTCCAAAACACTTTACAACATTAATATAGTACAGATCAATTGAAACAGAACTGGGTTTGGAGCTGATTCAAACACGCTGTCGTGTGATGATGGTCACCTTAAACGTTTGGGCCAAAACCAAAAAACTCCTTGAAGTGAAATTAGGTAAAACATCCCAATTTCAAATTTCTCCTGGAATTGCCTTGAGCATAAGTGACGCTTTCGTTTGGAAAATAATTAAACGTAGGTAATTATGTTTATTCTTTTTTTGTATAGCGTAATTTAAAATTCCGCCTGTTGTCAAACCAATGTTCTTTCCATTTGATGTAATAACATACCCGCTGTAGATTTTGTTTTCAAATTATCTTTCTAAATGCTCAAACATAAATAGTCAAAAAACAAACGCATTTGATTCTGGTCTTTAATTTTGATCATTTGACATCCCCCCCCGTCCCTGCAAAAAAACGCAATACTAATTGGCATCTAACAATAATTACCAGCGAAACATCGTATTACTCAAATTGTAAATGTTGTGGATTTACTCTCCAACACACCGGTGGGCTGTTATCGTAACTATTTGGCGTTTTGTTTACGTGACAAATCCCTAACTAATTGGCTGTGTCGGGTGTTGGAGGCTTTCGACTATTTATACTTACGCGATCTAACCCAAAAACCTTTATTATGACTAATTGTTGTGTTTAACATATCAAATTTCACACGTAACACCCTGAAAATGCGGATGTGGACAATGCACCTCATGCAGCTGTGCTCTTTCTATCCTAAGGAGGGAATATCTTGGGTTGCTTTTCTTTTTTTCTGGAGTTAATTATTGAAGGGTGCTTTGTGAGTGAGTAAACGTTCACGTTTAATTTGTGTCAAATGTCTAAATTTGACTGTAAAAATTACAATGGTGGCCCATTTAATCTACAACATCCAAACGAACCGCTCGTGGCAATGAATACAAGGCTCTTGATTTTGCTTCAGTGAGCGTTGTATTCAGAACCACTCTGATTTATTTAACATAAATTCTACTATTTTCTTACTTGTGGAGCTTCAAATGGCTCCACATTTTAAATAAACAGAACCATACAATGTGTATTGTTTATTTTGTATATCCTTCACGAATGGAACTGAATACTTAAACACAATAATCAATGGAGGCTCCCGATGCTATTTTCTCTGCAGCGTAGAGTCCTGTTTTGATCAATTCAATACATTTAAAGAGTCTCCTCAAGCATTTTTCGATTTAAAGCTTTCGTGACTGCAGGGATTCATCTTCTTGGTTCTTTCGGTAAAGTCACGTGACTTTACCGAAAGAACCAAAAACCAAGAAGATGACTCCTCAAGCATGTTTCCTAGTTTGGCAAAGTGGAACAAAGTGCCCAGTGCAACTCCCTCATTGATTGAGTCGTGTCAGAGGAAAGCCCTACACATCCCCAATTGAAACATTGCTGTGTTTGGTTGACATTTCA